CCCCTCCCTCCCCTGTGAATTGGATACATGCTGCTGGGTGAGTTTTCCATCTCTAAGGGTGTCCAGGAGACAGGTAAATCTGTATAAGCCTTCTCCCCCTGCAACAACACATGTAATGTTCTTTGAGAGGATAATTAATGATGAAATTCTTGAGACATAAAAGCGTGTTATTCATCTTAAAATGTAGCATTTTTATAATCAAGTACCTGCTTACCTTTTATTTTTGTTCTGCCGAATGGATCGTAATTAGCATGATGAAGGGTGGTTTGTAATGAAGGGTCTGGAGTGTGGTGCAGTCCTGGGTCTAATGGACAATATAAGATCAAATCTAATTGGTAAGTTTCCTTGAACCTCAGTATTAAAAACAAAAAGGAGATTAAAGGTGAAGCAGCATTCATCTTGTACAAAAACTCCTCTTTAAAGGTAGGTGATGCCAATCCAAATTGTTGTTTTTAATTTTAACTTTTGCTGCAGAATCATATAAATAATGAATAATATAAAACTTTACCCATCTGTTTGTTAAAACCTTTCCTTATAATAGCTTTGTGGAGGTCTCTTAACACACACTTGATGAGTAGGTAGGAAGCTGGAGGAAGCAGGTGTATATGCAAATGCTGGAGTGCATGTCTGATCGTGTGACGTCAGTAAACCTCTTCTGTATTGTTGTCCATTCCCTCGTCAGTCCTTGAAGGTCCCTAAAGGATATGCTCAATGGAGAATCACTGTATATATACACTGAGACAGGAAGTATTGAAATCTGTTCTGTGGATACCAGAGTGTTTTCATCAGGCCTCCAGGGATCTGTCTGTTCTTTCTTTTTGTTTCCTTTATAAAGAGGCTGTATACACACTGCATGCACCAGGGAGTGGAGCATGGATGCAAGTAAAGAGACCACAGTGTGTGGACATTTCACTGCATTGTATGTCCTTACTAAGAAAACATTAGTATGAAAAAAGTGTTTTAACTGACACACTGGTTCAAAAAGTATTGGTAGTTTTTCAGCGTGTCTCCACATACACTGTTTTTTATTCTGTGTGTGTAGGTCTCTGTGTGTTGTGTGAGACAGATTAAGTCATTTTGACACAAAGCTCTTGGTTCAGCATTTTCCCAAATTGCGTCTGTATTGTCTGTGCAGCTGCCTGTTAGCTTCTAGGGAGTTTATACACAGTAGAGCATTAGCCGAGATCATTGAATAGCAGGTGTGATAGGTGAGGTAACACTTGAGTGGCTAAAAAATATATATATCCCTCAAAAATATTGGACAGCTATGTACGGCAATCCAAACAGGACATTTGACAAAGCGGCATTTCGCAAAGAAGAAAAAAAAATGACATTAATCTGAACGAGAGGGATGGGTTATTGTTTTTACAACATAATTTCCCGATTATTTGAGAATAAATCCTTTTAGTGGGTTAAGTACATTCTTAGAATAAGTGAAAAAATTGATTTAACTTCTGTTTGACAGCCTTCACACTGTAAAAATAAGAAACTGTAAATGTATGCAATCATTTAGGGCATTCATAATTAATATCTAATTCTTAACTGTGAATTATTTTTCATTTATTTAATATTAGAAATGTATTAGTCCGGACAAACTTTTTCTGTTGAGATTCCTGGAAAAGGGACAAAAAAACGTTGATTCAAGAACAAAACTCTGATATTAGATCAGTATACAAACGTCAAATGTCCTGTTTGGATTGCCGTACGTAGCTGTCCAATATGGCACACCAAGCATCGCTAACACTCTGAGCCAGGGCCGTTTCTTCCTATAGGCGGACTATGCAGATGCATAAGGCCCCCGCGGCCCCTTGGGGGCCCCCAAGCTGAAAGTAATTTTTTTTTTTTTCATCCAAAAAAAAAAAAGTATAATTCATACACAAAAATATGAACAAAATTGGTAGAAGCGGGAGGGCTGAAGCATAGCTTATGGAAAGTAGCCCTCCCGTGCATCATCCTAATACAACATCCGCATTATTGCGTCAAAAACGTATAGCAATTAAGGAGTACAAAGAAATAATCAATAGCAGTTTCAACTAAAAACTAGATATAGGGTCGTTTTCTGCACATGTTAATAGCAGTTTCAACTATCTTTTTTTGGAATATAAATATATACATAGGTACACATGTGCTTGGCAAATTAATAATAATAATAATAATAATATATGCATAATTGCATATACACATTGTGAACACTTATTTTCAAGTGACTTTTTTTACATTCATATGTTCACGCTGTGGTTTGGAACTGCTTTTGAATATTATTCGGCATTTTGTTATGGAAAATGTTGTGCATAATCAGTACTGTTTTAAGCTGTACTATGTCAACACATTTTAATATATTGAGTTTTTTAAATATGGGAGTTGTGTGTTCATATTTACCAACACCACAGACTGTTCGTAATACTTTTTTTTGGGATGTTATTATTTTTTGTAGATTTGTTGAGTACGTGTTTCCCCATATTTCGGAGCAGTAGTAAAGGTAAGGGAGAAATAGACTGTTATAAAGAGTATTTTTTCTTCAAGAATGTTCTTAGTATGATACAAAATACCTATTGTTTTTGACAATTTGGGTTGTACATAATTTATATGGTGCTTCCAATTGAGTTTTTCGTCAACAAGCAGTCCTAAAAATGTACATGCACCAACTTTTTCTATCTCGGTATTGCAAATCCATATAAAGCAGTCATTTCTACTCTCAGACTTTGTATTGAATAACATGTCATTTGTTTTGGCCACATCAAGGGATAATTTATTAACTGCAAATCAGTTACATAGTATTTCTAATTCTGCATTCACGATTTTAACAAGATCACCAAGATTATGATGGGAGCAGAGAATTCAAAGTTCAGGTTCAGCCTCACTATATTTGGGCATAATTAAAATTAGCAATCTTTATTTGTAGACAGCCAAGCCCCCTCCTGTGTTCGGTGAAGCATTACATGCTTAAAAATCCAATGTAGGATATAAACACAACTAAACTGCAATGATAGCAAAGCTGTGGCTTGTGTTCTTGGGGTAATAAAGTCCAAATCATTGTTGGGCTGTCACCCAATGAGTGACGTCTGAGGAAGATGAAAAATGTAAATCAAACATTGTTGAGAAAATGATGCATCTCTTGCATTTATTGACATAGAGGAGCCTTATTGTTTACCTTTTTAATATACTTTTTGTAAGATTCAATTGCTTGGTTTTCGTGAAATTAGCCTGTTTTCCTATTAAAGTGTAACAGATTGATGCATCTCCACAGATCATCTTAAAGGCTTCGGAATCCACCCCATTGTAGTTAAAAAACTGTAAAAACTAGGGCCCCCAAACAGCATCTTACATAGGGCCCCCAAAAAGCTAGAAACGGCCCTGCTCAGAGCTAACCTGTACTGGAGAGAGTATGTGTAAAAAAGCAGGAAATAAAAAAAAGGAACTCACCTTGTGGTAAACCCACAAGAGAAAAAGCCTTTGAGCTCCATACTGCTTCAGAAATAATCCTTGATGTGGTTTGGAACATGATATGGCGTTTAATCACGGCAGCATTAAGCTGTATCTGCCGGTAGAATTCTGAGACCTTTAATGTTTAATGTTACAATAAAAATGTGCGCAAAATGTTCCCTAACCGGGAATATCTACTTTTTCCCTTCAAGTTTCGTTATTAGAAAGCTGGTCTTGAATTCAATTCCAAGTGGCATTAAAGAAAAGTCATAAAAGTAACTTAGTAAAAGTATGAACCCTGTAAAATGAATGAAAATGTAGATTGAATTACATGCCAGCCAACATAATCAAAGTCACTGGCCGTTTCTCAATGTCGAGTATACGTGCTGCAGAGCCACTATTATTATTTATTATATTAAGTATACTACGTCATCGAGTGGCGCCGAAGGACTGTTTAAATGCATGTTAAATGCCCAGCATTCAGCGCCACTCGATGACATAGTATACTTAAAATAGTGTCTCTGCAGCAGGTATACTCGACATTGAGAAACGGCCACTGACTTGCTGGTGAACATAGCTGACCATTTAGCAACTAAAGAGACAGATATTTCCCCGAGATGTCAAATGGAAAAACCGACCTTGAAGAGAGTAAATATTGGACTGACCTTGACTTTCATTGATATGTAGGTGTCGTATTTATAGCATGGACTCCAAAAAAACAGGCATTGCAGGTATAAAGCTTCGGTGAACGTGAAACACTGAGAAAAAGAACAGGAACTGGGATCGTATGTCAACGGTTGCTGTATTGTTTTGTATTTGTATACGTTTTCCAATATTAATACATAAAAAAACATCCATTAGAAAGTGATAACCCATAGAAAATGCAGCCCTGTTACACCACAGGCTAATTAACAGTTGCCTAAATCCGCATCCAACAGTCTTGTCTGAGTCATGTTTCTAACAATTTGATGAAGAAGTAGTCCAATATGTATTCACCATTTTGGTTTGGTTCCCATCAACTACTGAAAAACTATTTGGGACTCTTGGCTTGCCTTGATGCTTGAATTTCCCCACCAGCGACTTGTTTACTTCAGCTCTCTGTCATTTACCGCTGGGCTGCTGGAGCACGCTCAGCCTGTCAGAGCTGGAAACCGCTGCCTTTGGTTTTATATGTGGGAGTAATAAGAGCTTCGGGACCCAGCCATACATTCTGTGTGAAGGTCAGAAAACCAAAATAATGGGCTCAAAGTGTCAGAAAGCTGCATAGAGCTGCAGAGGTGGGTTCTAATTCCTAGGTACTCTCAGCACAACTGCTCATTATTTTACATTACAGGGTCTGATTTGATTCAAAATATAAATATTGCTCAAAGCAAGTTTATTCTCACATTGATCATAAAGGCTGCAGTGAAAATGACTGGCAGCCACTGGTCAGTGTAAAGAGCATAGGTAAGTAAGTGTTTCTCAGGGGTAGTTTATCATCAAACAGCCAGCCAGTTTCACTCTCAGTCGTATTGTATATGCAGTATGAATCTCAGGCCTGGAGGTGAAATATGGAGGAGCGGGCAGCGGCGTTGAGTAGCTGCAGCTCCGAGGCAGAATCAGACAACAGCTGCCTCCCTCTATCAGTGTTTTGATGTGCTGTGTGCGTGCTTGTTTGTCAGCAGTGGATGTGTGTCTGTGCACTGGATGTGTGTCTGTGCACTGTGTAGTCCATACACACCCACATGGTTGTGTGTCTGCATGTGCTTGTGTGTGAAGAGCACCTGTTTGACCCCTGCCATGGGCCCAGGCTGATAACGTCAGCTGACACATGGTTGTATGTTTGTTTACTCATGCAGCTTCTGGCCCTCAGTGTTTTTCAGTTTCATTGATTTGATAGAGAGCTTGTTTCTATCTCCTGGTAATATGTTTACAAGTGTCTTTCAATACAAGCTTGTATTGTAAAGTGAAGACACCTTTTATCTTTCCAAAATCTGATGCCCAGATATATTTTTCTTTTTTTTAAATTAATCATGGGTGGCTAATACTAAAGCTGTGAGGTTACTAACAATGAGTATGGTTGTATGGAGTCTTGTGATAGCTCAATCAGTGTAATAATAACAATAAATACTTGTTGGCTTATTGCTGACTAGCTCACCTTGCTATATAAGGTTACATGTGTTATTTGTATTAGCCTGTAAATAGCTAATTCAATAGCCAGGAACAGGACATAACTCATTATCTTTTCATCCGTTTGTGTAGTCAGTCACAACATTTTCCTTAGAGATATCATGTAAGTGACATTTTAAGCATTAGCCCAACTTTCTCACTTCTATCTAGAGCTGTACAAATTAGTCAAATAGAGGATTTTCGGACAGACAAAACTAAACATTTAAATACATTACCCTGGTTTTTGGGAAACTAGGATGGGCATTTTCAACTGTTATAGACCAAACAATGAACCAATTCCTCGATAATAAGTAATCATTAGTTTCTGCCCTACTTCTTCAAGCCACCCATTTTTACATGAACCCTGACTTCGATGTCCGTGGTCTTTTTGTGTTGCACCCTCTGAATGGAAAAGAGATTGCTCGTGTGTCTCTTAACAGCATCGTTAGCTGTGCTCTCTATACTCCGGCTCCAGTGTCATACGACCTCTTGTTTTTTTAATGGAGATACTGTGTACTGCAGTAGCTGAAACATCTGCTGACAACAGGGAAGGAAAGCTGAATGTTATTTAAAAACCCTCAGATACTCACCAACCGTATGTTCGTGGTTTGTCTGATAATGGTCTGTCTGCTGTGTGTAAAGCTTTTCAAGGATTGTGTTTGTCTTGCGTTTTACACAGACCTTGAGGGTTTGGTTTAATTTACAGCTAATTCAATTCATCGTTTTGACCTTAATCTTTAAATCATTTTTAAACCTGCTTCTGGTTACTGATCTCCAGATGGATATAATCATTAGTAATTCTGCCTGTAAGGGGGGAATGAATGAGAGACAATTGTTATATTTGTTTTTTACAGCTATTGTGGGTTTCCAAATGTGGTTCTAAAACACTAACAGTAAGCATAATGAACAGTATACACACAGTTAAGACACATTTAATGCTTTGTCGTCCTGAATCAGTGTCATCTGTTTCACTTTTTGGCAGAAGTCGTGGTTGCCAGTGTCAAACACTGATAAAGTATTTTAGCTGCATGAATGTGAATGCTTTTCCCTAGTAACAAGAGCAGCTAAGTAAAAAAAATGTGTTGTCTGGCTATATTTGGGCAACCATCTGCCTTATCACTGTGCCAGAGGGAGAATTAAGCCCCTGCTCTGAGACCTTGTTTCGTGTACACTCCTTTGTTCTGCAGTGATCTGTTCCAAATATTATTTACAATAACAACGACACCAATAAAGTTGCCTCATTGACGATCCTTCTTCTCCTAGCATCTGTTAAAACGCGCATCTCCCATGAGTGTTTGCAAGTGCTGACCCGCCCCCTCTATTGGTTGTGTTTTGCAGGAGATCAGGAACATGCACAGCGAGCAGCTGATGGGTATACGGCGAGAGGAGGAGATGGAGATGTCGGACGATGACATGGAGGACCCCCCCGACAGCAAAGACTCTGAGGACTCAGGTATGCAAATGTTGTCGGTTCAACGCTTCTGTCAACATCACAGGCCAAGCAGTGATCCAGATCTTCAGAGGAGGCAGCTGTGTTTGACTGAAATGACAGTAATCATCCCCCAAGCATCTGACAACCAGCTGACAACTCCACATGAATAAAAAACAGATTCAAAGTACATCAAGATGCTGACACCACTCACGCTTACTGAGTTGATGTTAAACATGACTACTTAATGACCAACCCAGTCCACCCTGGTGTGTGTGTGTGTGTGTGTGTGTGTGTGTGTGTGTGTGTGTGTGTGTGTGTGTCANTTCAAATGATAATAAACATTAGCATAAAGCATACTTGTCCACTCATATGTTGATAAGAGTATTAAAAACTTGAAAAATATTCCTCTAAGGTACATTTAGAACAGATCAAAAATGTGCGATTAATTTGCCATTAATCGCGATTAACTATGGACAATCATGCGATTAATCGCAATTAAATATTTTAATCGACTGACAGCCCTAATAAATATAGTATAAGAATATGGCAATTCGCCTTTATTGATAGCATACATTTAGGAAAAAGAATTAAAAAACGAATATCCGAATAATGAAATTGAAACCCGAATAGTTGGCCAACGAATGAATATTCGAATAGTCGAATATTCGGGTACAGCCCTACCGTGAAGTTGTTTGCCTGCTAGTAAACCCAAAGCAGAAGAAGAAGAAATGACGTCAGCGGCTTCATTTGCGTAATCTTCCCTCAGGGACTTATTCCGATGTGAACGCAATCTGTACCTAGTTCCATGGGGGTACTAAGTTCTGGCACTAAGTACGGCAAAGTACTTGGTGTGAAAGCGGCTAATGGTCTTAAAGTTCTTCTAATCTGTTGATGTTTAGTTTTCAGTTTATTTCAAGGAAAGTGATTAATGAATGGTGCCCCTCCTGGTTGAAAGCAGCTCAAGGCATCATCAGGACAAGCATTGATTTGTTTGCTGTGGGAAAAACTTTGCATTATAGGGTAGGAACATCTTGGTCTATTGCAGCAATATTTAACTGCCTCAGAGACCCTTGTCTTTGATGAACATTGTCAAATAATGTATATTTGTTATTTTTCATTTGTTGTGAAGAGCACACCTTCATGTATAATGCAATAAATTCTTTTTTATATCTTAATACCCACATTTAGTTTATTATTTGGAAGACCCAGCAGAATCCTCCATTTCTCTTCACATTATTACTTTTGTCTTCTTTTTCTTGAACTTGAATCACTGGATATTTGTCAAGATTAAATTGTTATTTCAGTGATATTACAGCAATAATTCAGTAATATCATATTTGAAACAACAGCCTTTGAATGCTCAGCATAATTAATTTGTTCGTGAGAGTTGCCAGGGTTATATTTAAACTAACACAATGTGGCTTGGCTGTTCATTTACAATTCATTATGTCAAAATATTGATTCTGTTATTAATAATTATGTTGAATTAAACCTATAAATATGTAACTAAAGACAAATGAAATTGTCTTGCTGAAATTAGGCCATACATTTGTAAATCAAGCAGAAAAGGTTTGCCTTTTGAAGCAAAAAGCCGTACCCATCTAAATTAAATGAACCTTTATGTTCGTTTGTCATGAATTATGTTCATGAAAACTAGATTTTACGGTGTTCGCTCATTTCCAAACATCTCTTCTCCTGCTTGGATAACTCTTTGCGTAAAGAATAATCTTTCTGAACTGGAAAGCGCTCAAATTATTCAGCTTTTTGATAACTGGATTTGATGTTTTCACTTTTCTGCTTTACATGAAAAACAAAGGCCATATTTGTACCCGGTTGAACGTTTTTGTATCTCACCTACATCAGAGACCATTGTATGAGACTTGTCTCATGAATTATTGATATATTATCATGTGAAATTGAGTATATCTTTCTTTATTTTAAAAATGATATCCTTATAATCCTCAATTTTACACACTGATGATTATTCATAAAAACAACTTTCTGTAACTGTAACAAAACATTTTAAATGTACTCCCCTAATCTAATGAAAAGCTCAATATTTTTTACATAAAACAACACAAAAGGCTTTTCTATAACTGCTTATTTGCTTACTTTGACTTGAATCAGCATTGGCTGTCAAAATCACTTTTAGATTCGCTATACCGTGTCTCTTATCTCACACAAGCTTGACACATGTGTTGTCCGCTTGGAAAAGATACCCTCATTGGATAACATTGATATCATCTATTCAAGTTTATTATACAAAAACCCTTTTATATCCATGTGCTGAAATGTATTTGGTTGACAAGTGTGTTTCACAAATACAAAATAACTACTGCACATGCTTCAGTGAAATGTGCCCTTATAAAACAGCAGCAGCTCATGAAAGGGACTAATGGATTTCTGAGAGAGCAGAAACTGAGGGACAGCTATAATATGTAGTTCATTATAACCAGGATAATTATCAGAAGACAGTGGGCTGTCACCATGTGGACTGCCTGAGGTTTACTGTGCAGTGTTATTGTGCGCTCTCATTCATTGGAGTCATTAAACCAAATTGTGTCTAATGAATAGTAATAGGATCACAGAGGGGAACATACTGCAAACATACCCATTCTGGCATCTCATTAAATACCAGTGGCTAAAATAATATTTTAGAAGACTAAACAACAACCTCATGTTTTTATATCCTAAACCACAATCAGTATCCAAAGGTATCTCCCTTTTTCTTCAGTGTCATTCATTTATACATTAAGGGTGTGACAAAATAATGATACACAATTTGTATACATTGCATTTAAAGGGGCCCTATTCTGCAAAGGTTCAGGTTCATATTTGTATTTACTGTAGTGTCGCTACTGTGACATTTGTACATGCTTTAGTTTTCAAAAATGTATTTTTTTACCTGGTGCATCTAATCAAGGGCTTCATTAGTTCAGGTGTGATTGAGCTAGAACACACATACGTTTGATTGCATGTTAGAAACATGGCAAAAGTCAAAATAATGGTCTCAAAAGATCAGAGAAAAGATCATTGCCTTGCTCAAAAAAGGAAAAGGATACTCAAAGATAGCAAAATCACTGAATGTTCCTAGAGATACAGTTTGCAAGCAAAGTTTGCAAGTTCAAAGTTAAAGAAACGGTAGCTATACTACCTGGACGTGGCAAAGCTACCTGATGTTTCAGTTTGAACAGTACTAAGCACTGAAGGGCTCCATGCACGGAATCCAAGACGTACACCACTACTGACCCAAAAGCACAAGAAAAGTGGGCTCCAATATGCTGGTGTCTGCATCACGTTTGCAGCAGGTCAAAACAGCAAAAGGGTGCTCTAAGTACTGAAGTTACTTGTCGTGAAGGGGTTGAATGCTTTTTAGACTGCGGTATTCATTAAAAGTAGCATTTTTTGGTTTAATTTGGTTAAAAACCCTTGTATTATGTGTCTCACTGAAACAGTTATTTTGTCATTTGTTTATTGCAAACAACTAAGAAATGGTATGTTTTTCCAATAAACCTTATGAGCAATGGGGCTTGAATCATTCTGATTGCAACTGCACACTCGCTCCTGAGTCATGTACAGCAACATCGTTGTTTTCTCTTCAGCGAGCGCCCTGGCTGAACTTAAGTGTCCAGCGCCCTCCACTTTCCCACTCTATGGTAATGTGGCTGTTGACATTAAGCTCTTATGTCAGAGCTCAGCTTCGCCACAATAATATCAGATGTTTAGCTGCTTCAAATGTATCAAACCGGTGGTCATGAGGTGGCTGAGTGCCTTTGAAATAAAAAATACACTGGCAGAGATGACTAAAAATGAAAATGATTGGCATGTTTGGCAAAGCTCCTGGGAGTAACTGCCGCACAACAAACAAACAGCAGCCTCATAACTCTAGCATGAGCGATAAATCATGTTCAAAGGCTTTGTAAATTCTAACATAAATCACCTTATAGTAGCAAATCAAAGATGATCAAAACCCTTACATCAGTTTCTTCGGGTAAGCATGACAAAGTATTGTGTTTGGAAAGAATTGTATTTGCTCATAAGCTGGACCACCACAGAGCACTGTTATCCTCAGTGTCTCATCTGCACTGCTAAATATACAACAGAGACAAGCAATGGATCATTTATAGAGATTCCAAGGTTTAGAGAAAAAAGAAAAAGCCACATCTTGACATTTCCCCTGCTTACATCCAAGTCTGCATGTCATTTTCATGAAAACAATGTTAGTTCCCTTTGTAACGCTACATGAAAAATTACAAAAACAAACCTTGGAACAAACCAGCAGCCGTGGGGACTCGCCTTTGTGACAGAAGAGCGGCGCTACGTAGATGAAACAATAGTGTTTATGTCTCTGGTGGTTACCAAAGCCTTCCTGCAGTGTCTAGTTATGCAGCGCTGTACAATTAAATGTGTCTAAAGTCTGAACATGTAATCAAACACGTGAATGAATTGCATGGCTGTATGGTAAACTCTGGTGGACTGTAAAAAGGCATTTACTCAAGTACTGTAATTAAGTAACATTTTGAGATACTTGTAATTTACCTCGGTATTTGAATGTAAGGCTCCTTTATACATGTACTCATGTTATATAGTCATAGGTTACCCAGCAGCAGTATGCACATTTACAAGCTATGACATTAATGTAATAAATCATCATCCAGTATTTAACATTCGATCCTGAAATAGGTATTTACCCATAACTTTAAGTAGATGTGGCTCTGCCCTTGAAACCAAACTAAAATGTAATTTTAAATTGTTACCATATAGTCTATCTAAGTAATTAAACGTCGTAATTCTAATTGAATGTTCTTGTTTGTTATTAATAATATAACCAACATGTTCTATCCAGTTATTGTACCTGCTGGGTATTCACAAGGCAGTTACCCAGACAACCTCTCTGTATACATTATTGCAATACATTCTCCCAATAAAATATTCTAAGGCACCTCACACAATAAAACAATGTGTGAAATCACTCATATAAATCAAAGAGAAATGGTTTCCCCTGCTCCAGATGTTTGATATGCTTTAATGCACTGTTCCATGTCATTGTTTTTTTTTATTCAGCTAAGAGAGATCTGCAGTACCACTGGGAAACTTTCCCGTAAACAGTCTCTGGTATCGTTCAGGTATTCAGATCTGTGTCATTTTATTAAATATATTATTAATATATATGCTAATGCACAATTTGAATGTACTTCTTTAATTGTGTATTCTACCATGGCTGCTGCTTGATATTAAAA